GGAAGACTAGTTAGAAAATTTCTGGATTCTTCCACTGAGACTTGATTGTGGAAGGAGAGAGGGTAGAGAGAAGTCGAGTCCAAAACATTGTTAAAGTAGCTGATGTGTATGGGGGTGTGAGAGACGGGAGCTCAGTTCACTTTCTGCCACATCAGTTCCATTGCATGTCTGCTCAGGAGAACAGTAGCCCCCTCCAACACACACACACACCCCACCTTACTTGAATCTGTATTTCTGGGGGCAGGAGTGCAAAAAAAGTCAAGTTCAGGTGCAGTCTGCTTTTTTAAGCTGCCTGCCAAGCCATAAGCTTGAAGAGAGAGACTGGAACAGGAGCACCGAAGACAAAAATAGGTTCAGAAAAACTATTTTCAAGTTTTCCCTTCTGTTTCCTTTCCTTTTTCTTTTTTTTTTTCTCTTCTCTCAAATTAAGGACTGCTTCCCAGGGCCGGTGGCTGGTACCTTCATGTCTACATAGCCATCCCCCTCGTCTTGTCTGGTCTGTGTTGTTTACCCTCACAATGTTCTGTGGCAGCCAAAAGCTGACCTATCCCCACTCGAAAGGATTTCTTTCATGACCCTGCTTATTCTTGGCTTCATGAGGAAGCGGTGAAGGAGTTTCTATGACTGTTTTAATTCATTAAGAGCAGAACAGAAGCCAAATCCATTTCCTCTTGAGTGAACAGCCTCTCCGGACCCTCTTGTGATGCCCATTTGGGGGGCTTCTGTTTCCTGCCAGAGTGATTTGGTCAAGGGTTTTGACCCTTGGTTGCATTCCCAAAATCTCGTATTCACATTTTAGGCCCTTATGCTTTTGATCTTCTCTCTCCACACCTCCCCACCTCCCCCTCAACACACCATCCTCTGAGAACACTCAGCTGGTACTTTTTTCCTGCAAATTTCAGAGCGAGCTAAACTATATTCAAATTGTGTACTAGGTATTGACGTAGGTGCCTCACGATTTGAACAGAGTCTGCTATTTCTGAGATTTGAAGTATACAAATATCTGTAGCTATATAAAAACACAACACTTCCAGGGTTTGCACCACAACAGAGTATATTTTTAAGGTTGCCTGAAAACATGTTAAAAGTCACTTCTTCACTCACCTTCAGAAGCAATCAGTATCTTGGATCTTTTCACTAGGCGCAAAGCTAAAATGATTTCTTAGATGTGTCCCCGATGCCATGCCATATGACAACGTGGAATCTGTGCCGAAAATAGTTTATGGAAGTTGTCCCTTTGCTGCCACAGTCTACTGCCCCTAAGACTGGTAAGCATCCGTTCCATCTTACATCCCAATTTTATATAGTCAGTGGTTGACGTAAAGAGTCACTTGTCATTCATTTCCACAATAATTATAACTCTCTCTGAGGCATAGTGTTTTAACACAGAGCCCTCCTGACTACCTGTTGTGTAGTATCCCACTGAACCTTCCAACAGTCATGATATAGGTGTTCTCCTTATCCCCTCTTTACAGATTCAGAACTTGAGGCTCAGAAGGGTTTAAATGTGTGCATCAGAAAGTTCTTTTGAGCCAACCCAAATCATCGGCCACAATCACTGGCCCTCCTCCTACAGGAGTAGGGGAAATCTGATCGCCCTCTTTCAACTCTAAGATTGCACAGGGATCAGTAGTTCAGACATCGAAGGCCAGCTCCATCACCTTGACCTTCTGAATTGCAGGAAGAAGTAAAGTGATCTTAGAAGAGACTCTTGGTGGGCTCACTGAAATCTAGTGACCAATCCCACAAGGTGTAGATATGCTTAAACTATCAGGTCAGGCTGTTGCTCATTCTCCTCCAGGTGATGCTTAAGAAAATATACCAGTCCTTCTCCTAAAGCAACCCATGGTTGGTTCAGTCTTGCCCACGGGCTTGTTGTTAACATTCCTTTTCTTCTTGTTCCTGGAGCTCTTCCAGTGCCAGCCAATAGAACAAACCCTTTACAGACATTTTCACATTTAAACTTTTGTCTACCCCAGAAATCTCTACTTAACAGAAAAGGAAATGAGCCCAGAAGGATTCAAGAATTTACCAAAAGTTATCCAGTGAGAGAAGCACAACTTAATCCCAGATGGAGCTGCCTTTAGACTCTATTCATTTAAACAGCCACACTGTAGCATCTCTAGCACACACACACCCCTATTGGGTGTTGATGGCTGAACAACTCTTAAAGGTGCCATAACGTCTTTCCCCAAGAACACAGTCTCCTTGAAATCCTAAATTCTCTTCTGGCTTCTGCCCCTTGAACTGCGTGCTAACTATAGCCCTCTTAACTATCTCTCCATAACACTCCTCTAAGGGTGCCCCATAGCCATCCCCAGAATGCCCAAAGGACAAGGAGGATGAAAACTTGCTGTTTCAGGCTCCGCCTTACCACCCTCAGTGAGCACACGTGCACCAAGTTCTGGAGAAGGGCCTTCCACCTACCCCTCACCCCTACCAGCCTCCAGTGCTTGGTCTTGCCAAAAATAAGGCTAATCCCTCCCACTTTTCAATCACATAGAACATCTGAGGTGTGTCTGAGTGGGAAAGTGAGACGTATATTCTCAGAAACTCGACTGACTTGTAAAAATGTTGGAGGATTTGCAAAGTTGCAGTTCTAGAATCACTTCCCACCTTCTTCTCTCCGCCCTCTCTCACACAATATGGGGAAACCAGTCCACAAGTGACCGTGGCATACACTGTTCTGAAAGGTGTTTTCTTGCCAGAGGAACTAGATGGGCATTATATGCTTCTGGGGATCCCTTAACTGTTAACTTTTTTTCTGGCAAACATCTAAGTTATGAGAAGATTCCTCTAGACACAAATAATACGTGGTTAGCTTATTTCTATTAAATCTTTTCTTTGCCATGATTTACAACTTTGGCCCTGATATCCTTACTTGGTGCTCTGGTGGCCTAGTGGATAAGAAATTTTACTGCCAACCCAAAGGTACATGGTTCAAATCCACCAGCTGTTCCACAAGGAAAAGATGAGCCCTCTCCTCCCGTGTGATTTTATTCACTTCCTCTGAAAATTTGCATTAGGTTACAATTTGAGGTTTTATATATCTGGGCTTACTTTCCCCCTCATCTTAGTGTTTTCTTGCTTTATTGTTTTTATATCATTTATAGTTAGTAATTCTTGATCCTCTTTATTCCCTAGAGTTGTATGATGTCCTAAGTTCAAAAAATGTTCAAAGAGTGCTCATGACACCACAGTAGAATGGTTTTATTAGTAAAAACATAATCTTGTAGAATGTTCTAAGACCTCTTCCTCCCCCCCACCCCCATGCTTTCCCTGAAGTGATTTCAAGATTTCTTGGCGTTGTTTGCCGTAGGCTGACGGCTGTGGTACCAAGTTCAATCATCAGACTCTGTTTCTCACTAGATTTGGTGGCCAGGAAAGCATCTTGCAAATGAAATTCTAGTCCCTAGCCTCCCTCCTCATTCATAATAATCTTCCCTGTCCCCCTTCTCTTTCTTGTTTCTTCTTGCTTCCTGATCTTCCTAGTATCCAGGTCTTCTTTCCTTTTATTCCATTTCTTTCTACTCTTTGAGATTAAATAGAAACTACTACATTCAGAAATAGTTTCCAAGATGGTGGACTTCCTGCCAACTCTAACTTCCCCACCCCCCTCAAAGATGGACCTCACGCCCCTCGTCCCATCCTCTCTCCTTCCTCTGAAGCAGAAGCTTCTTGCTGAACTACTTTTCTCCATGTACTGTTCCCTTTCTGACTTCCCGTGACACTGTCTTCCATGCTGCACGTCCGTCGCCTGGACTTGCATCCTAAGAGCTGCCTTTGTGCCAATAACGTATGTAGGTTTATGAGTAGAAAGGGCTCTGTCCTGTGTCACCTCCTCCACTGGAATCAGCTGATCTCACTCTAGTTTACAGCTCTATCAGTCCCACCTTCCCACAGGTCTCCACCAGGCCCGGACCCCAGGGTTTCCACTCCTGAGGAGGGGAGGAATGGGTAGCGTCACCTGCCATGCCACGTCCTGAGAAGGGACACTCTCTAGAAGAAGCTTGTCAGTGTTTGGTTTTGATCTAATCCTCGAGGTAGAATGAGATGACCCATTCATAATCTGATGTGGACCACCACCATCAACAAACGACTTCTGAGGAAATTGTAGACTGTGGTATTCTGAGTGACTGACCACATCCGAATCTAGGCAATAGAAACCCGTCTCAATTAAGCTTTTCTGCCTTGGATGTTGCCAAGGGAGAAAACCAAGGATTGAACAAGAAATGTGCCGTTTCCTTAGCTTCCACACTTTTTTGCATGCTCTTCCCCGCCCCCCAGTCCCTGTGCTTGCTGCATGAGTTTATCCATTTACTATGTCCATAAAGGAGATGCAATGATGTGTTAGACTTGTGGTTTGAAGCCATTCTTCTGAGAATGGGGTCCTTTCAGGGCTCAGTTGCTGCCCTCCCTTAAAGCGCCAAGTGCCATCCATGGCCTCCTTAAATACTTTAATTGCAGCTGACTCGGCAGATCATAGAGCTGTGTGTGACACGTGCTCCCGAACCACTTGGAAACTGCAGTGTGAATTATGATAAATATTTGAAAGCCAAAGTCAAATCAAGGGAGCCCAGGGCTTGGTTTTCCTACTCAACCCTTTATCAACACCAGTCTGGGATTAGATTTGGTACCAGGGAAATTGCTGCGTCTGCAGAGCAGCTTTCTCTTAGTCCTGTGTTGGGTCCAAGCAGCAGGGAGGTTCAAGAGATGCTGGAAGTTTGGGGTGTGCTGTGGGCAGTTGGTTAAACTTTTCATCTGAGGGGGTCTGGCAGCTTGAAGGCCTTAAATGGAGACTCGGACAGAAGAATCCACAAAGGTAGGGAAGGCAGTTTGCTGTGGGTAGGTTTGGGGGTGTTGGGGTTGGGCAGAAAGGAGCGGAGGAGACCAGAGTGCAGCATAACAGGGCATATATGTTGCTTCACTCTTCATCTCCAGCCCCTCTGTTTATCTTCCTCCTCACCCCATTTCCTTCCTGCTCCTTTCTCCTGATTCAGGGCGGTTCAGAGAAAAGGCTTCAATTCTCCATAAGATTGCCAAGAAGAAATGCCATGTGGACGAGAACGAGAGGCAGAACGGAGCGGCCAACCACATGGGTGAGTACAGAGACTCCCCTCCATCCCATGCCATCCCTTCCTGGGGTGAAAGGAGGGGAGCAGAGAGGCAGGGCCCAGGGTCAGCACCCTTGACCCCGTAGAGGCCTTTCCTGGGTGTCATCAGTCAAATCTCTCCACCGCTGGCAAACACTAGTAACTGTAGGGAACCCCCAGGAAGAGTTATGATGCTTTGGGAAGTCTGAACTAACACCAGTTCCTAACCAGGCGTCTGCAGTTACGAAAAGCAAAACTCAGAATGCATTGCCATCAAGCTGGAACCAACTCAGCGCTGACCTGCCTGGTTTTTAGAGGCTGTAAATCACTTGGAGGAGTCGCCATCTTTCTCCCACACAGCAGCCGGTGGATTTGAACCACCAGAGAAGTGGCACCTTTTGTTTAGCAGTGCAACTCCCCACAGACTATGCCGCCAGAGCTCCCACTGCCTTTAAGAGCAGGAAATAATTTTATTTTGGCAGATCTCCGTAAAGAGGTCCCCAGGTAGTACAAAGCGGATCGCTGGTAGAACAGAAATTAAACCATTCAGCTGTCAACTGAAAGTATGATAATTTGAACCCACCAGCCACTCTGTGGGAGGAATATGTGACAGTCTGTTTCTGTAAAGGCTTATAGACATGAAAATCCTATAGGCCACTTCTACCCTGTCCTCTAGTGTCACTGTAAGTGGAGATAAACAGCAGCAGGTATGGGTTTTTGGTGGGTGGTGCAAATGGTTAAAGAGCTTGGCTGACAACAAGGTGACTGAGAGTTCAGGTCCACCCAGAGGCACCTTCAAGAAGAGGCACCTGGTTATAGTCTTCTCAAAACTGAGCCGTTGGGATCAGAAATAGTTCTACTCTGACATGCACAGCGACATTACCGTGAGGCAGAGTGGATGTCACAGCAATTGCTTTACTGCTACATACAGAGGAGAGACACATGCACACCAGTCAGTCAGTGTTTCCCGAGATGAGAAAACCCTGGTAGCACAATGTTTAAGCACTTGACTGCCAGCTGAAAAGTTGGAGGTTCAATCCCATCCAGAGGCTCCACAGGAACAATGACCTGGTCATCTACCCCCGGTAAAGATTGTAGCCTAGAAAACTCTGTGGAGCAGTCTGCTCTGACACAAGGGGTAGCTGTGAGGTGGGATCAAGTCAGAGACGCCCAGCAGCAATACCTAGAGTTTGAACCTGTGGCCTTGCCCACAGCACTCTCAGTGAATTGCCAGTGTTTCCCCGGGTCCCTCTTGATCTGTGTCACAGAGTCCCTGCAACACGGCACTGCGTCTCCTTCCTGAAGGAGCAGCCCAGCCTCTTCTTGGTGCCCTTTTCTGCATCTCGTGTGTGGCCAGATAGTGACATTCAGCATCTTATTTTAACTTTGGACACAGTGTTCCTCCTCTCCTCTCTGTAACTATAATTCCAAATGCAAACTAAATTTAACCTAATCTGGATCTATGCTATAAACAATGTGATTGCCCAAGAAACTCAAAGTATCTGCAGATAAAAATTCAACTAAAAATACATGACACTCTTTTGAAGAGTATCTTTTGAAGAATCTGTGTCCCTCCTTTCTGGCTCAGGAAAATCTTGACCTTTGAAGCAGACAAGAGTCCACTGGCAAAGAAGCTAAATAAGGAAATAATAAATAAATAAGGAAGGAAATAAGCCAAAATGCTACCAAAAATTACTTCTTGGAATTGGGATTATTAAACATGAGATTATTTTGCTTGGCTTCTTTATGGTACTATGAATTTGGACAAATTTCTTAAATAAGCATGTTTTGGTTTTGGATTACAAAACTATGTAAACTGTACCATGAAAGTCTATTACATAGGTTAAATTTTGCTTGTGATATTTATATTCAATTACATCTCTTCTCCCCATTGGTTTCTCTTTGGGAATGAGACCATGCAGCAAAATGAGATTTAGATGCCAGCATTCATTCCTGGCCCTTCTCCTGGGGACTGGGTGACATGAACTTGGATTGAACTTTTGATGAGGAAGTAATATGCATAATTCCAAGGATCCTTCCAGTCTTGATTAGGTCTCTGAATAGCTTTGTTCCTAAAAAATGTTGTTGTTGTTATTGTTGTTGTTGTTGTTAGGTGGCATCAAGTTAGTTATGATTCAGAACACCACCCTGCTGGGCCTGTGCCCTCCTCACAAGCCTTGCCATGTTTGGGCCCACTGTTGCAGGCACTGTGGTCATCCATTCCGTTAAGGATCTTCCTCTTTTTCACTGACATTTTACTTTGCCAACCACCGAATCCTTCTCCAAGCACTGGTTCCACCCGATGACACAACCAATATAAGGGAGGTGGAGATCTTCCTTGTAGACATATGGATAATCTCCCATCACTAACAGCTTCGTACTTCAGGATGGTGTTGTTATGTGCCATCGAGTCACCTGTGACTCATAGCGACCCTCTGTACAACAGCCCTAAACTCTGCCCTGTCCTGTGCCAGTCTCACCATCTCTGTCACACCTACCCCACATTACCCCAGTCACTGTATCAGTCCATCCCATTGAGAGTCTT